CATGCAACCTCTGAAGAGACAACTAACACAACACCTATATCCCCTATTAGACTATTTTACAGGAACTTCTTTTCCACAGCTCATAAAACGGAGGAAAGGGTCCTGAAAGATATTGTTAATAGGAACGTTATCCCTACAGACAAAAATCAGAGGATACAACTGACGATTTACTATAAAACCAGAAAAACGGCCAGCCTACTCATGAGAAACTCTCCAGACACAAAACAGAACGCTTTAAAAGAGACTAACGTCGTCTATGCCTTCAAATGCCCACTTGGGGACTGTAAGCTCCAAAAAACCCAGTATATAGGCAAGACAACAACATCTCTTTCTAGGCGTTTAACGATGCATAAGCAACAGGGCTCCATTAAGGAACATATAATCTCTTCCCATAACCAAACCATCGCCAGAGAAATCCTAGTAAACAACACAGAAATCATCGATAGATACAGCGATAGCAGGCGGCTTGACGTTTGCGAGGCACTACACATCAAGAAGTCAACACCAGCAATCAACAGCCAATTATTGCACAACTATATTCTACCCACCTCAAGACTCCGCTCCAATATAGAAGCATCAAGAAATATGGACCAATAGGCTTTCTACAAACACTTCTATTCAATACCCATTGTTTCTGTTCTGTCTTGTGTTGATACTTTTAATACCCTATTAATATCCCCTCATGTTCTGTCTTGTGTTAATGCCACATCACTATATGCCACATCATCCCTCCCACCTCACTCAAATGTAGATATAATAGCAGAGATACGTAAGTTCTAATCAGTTGTGTATTTGTGAAGTCTTTGAAAATGTAATAAGTTTTACGAAACGCGCCCGTGTCGCGTCAGACTAGAAATAAAAATTAATTTTGGAGAAGTGATTTTTGATTTACCTCCAACAGTGAAGCGTAATGTACGAAAGATTGAGAAAATTCGTGTTAGAATTATTAATCTTACTTTTTCGGTCATATTTAATAATATATGTCTACAGGAAAGACTGCTACCAAAATATACAAATATATATATATATATATATATATATATATATATATATATATATATATATATAAATATATATATATATATATATATAATATATATATATAAATATATATATAAATATATATATATATATATATATATATATATATATATATATATATATATATATATATATATTTATATATATATATATTTATATATATATATATATTTATATAAATATATATATATATATATATATATATATATATATATATATATATATATATATATATATATATATATATATATATTTATATAAATATATATATTTATATATATATATTTATATAAATATATATATATATATATATAAATATATATATATATATATAATATATATATATATATATATATATATATATATATATATATATATATATATATTTATATTTATATATATATATATATATATATATATATATATATATATATATATATATATATATATATATATATATATTTATATATATATTTATAGAGTACCACCTCTAGCTGGAAGAAGGGGGACCCATAGCCTCGGAGGAAACCACGCATAACGCATTAGAGGGAATGTTTAGATCCCCTCCAATACAGTTTCTGTGTGCTTTTCTCCTACCACCCCCTTCCTTGAATATTTTTTGTGCTTTATTATGCATTTGATGGTTACAAGATATACATGGGTTGATACAAAAATAATAATGCAAAAAGGTGCTTAAAGGTTATGGATCTCTTGAAGAACACAACAATGGGAAACATTGATGAATGTCACAGACGGGTTCGATCATTGTTGCAAGTCAAACACTTCTTCGAATTCCTCTGAAGTTGGACTAGTGCCCAAGACGCAACAGGCATTTCCCCTCTGAATCGCAACACTGAGGCGCTGGAACAAGAAACTTTTTGCTCTCTGGTCTTTTGTAGCGCTGATCAATTTGTCCCCCAATTCCTTCAGGAACTTCAATGCACATTTTCCCCACGAACCGAGGGTCTCCGAGATTTATATATATATTTATATATATATATATATATATATATATATATATATATATATATATATATATATATATATATATATATATATATATATATATATATATATATATATATATATATATATATATATATATATATATATATATATATATATATATATATATATGCGAACAAGCCTGAATGGTCCCCAGGACATATGCAACTGAAAACTCACACCCCAGAAGTGACTCGAACCCATACTCCCAGAAGCAACGCAACTGGTATGTACAAGACGCCTTAATCCACTTGACCATCACGACCGGACATAATGAGGTGATAGCCGAGGCTATATGAACCACCCCACCGCCGGCACTCGGATAGTTATCTTGGGCATAGCATTTTACCAAATCACCTCATTCTTTGGGGCACACGTGAGGAACACAAATGCGAACAAGCCTGAATGGTCCCCAGGACATATGCAACTGAAAACTCACACCCCAGAAGTGACTCGAACCCATACTCCCAGAAGCAACGCAACTGGTATGTACAAGACGCCTTAATCCACTTGACCATCACGACCGGACATAATGAGGTGATAGCCGAGGCTATATGAACCACCCCATCGCCGGCACTCGGATAGTTATCTTGGGCATAGCATTTTACCAAATCACCTCATTCTTTGGGGCACACGTGAGGAACACAAATGCGAACAAGCCTGAATGGTCCCCAGGACATATGCAACTGAAAACTCACACCCCAGAAGTGACTCGAACCCATACTCCCAGAAGCAACGCAACTGGTATGTACAAGACGCCTTAATCCACTTGACCATCACGACCGGACATAATGAGGTGATAGCCGAAGCTATATGAACCACCCCACCGCCGGCACTCGGATAGTTATCTTGGGCATAGCATTTTACCAAATCACCTCATTCTTTGGGGCACACGTGAGGAACACAAATGCGAACAAGCCTGAATGGTCCCCAGGACATATGCAACTGAAAACTCACACCCCAGAAGTGACTCGAACCCATACTCCCAGAAGCAACGCAACTGGTATGTACAAGACGCCTTAATCCACTTGACCATCACGACCGGACATAATGAGGTGATAGCCGAGGCTATATGAACCACCCCACCGCCGGCACTCGGATAGTTATCTTGGGCATAGCATTTTACCAAATCACCTCATTCTTTGGGGCACACGTGAGGAACACAAATGCGAACAAGCCTGAATGGTCCCCAGGACATATGCAACTGAAAACTCACACCCCAGAAGTGACTCGAACCCATACTCCCAGAAGCAACGCAACTGGTATGTACAAGACGCCTTAATCCACTTGACCATCACGACCAGACATAATGAGGTGATAGCCGAGGCTATATGAACCACCCCACCGCCGGCACTCGGATAGTTATCTTGGGCATAGCATTTTACCAAATCACCTCATTCTTTCAAATCAGTCCGGTCGTGATGGTCAAGTGGATTAAGGCGTCTTGTACATACCAGTTGCGTTGCTTCTGGGAGTATGGGTTCGAGTCACTTCTGGGGTGTGAGTTTTCAGTTGCATATGTCCTGGGGACCATTCAGGCTGGTTCGCATTTGTGTTCCTCACGTGTGCCCCAAAGAATGAGGTGATTTGGTAAAATATATATATATATATATATATATATATATATATATATATATATATATATATAAATATATATATATATATATATATATTTATATAAATATATTTATATATATATATATATATAATATATATATATATATATATATATATATATATTTATATATATATATATATATATATATATATATATATATATATATATATATATATATATATATATATATATATGTCGTACCTAGTAGCCAGAACTCACTTCTCAGCCTACTATTCAAGGCCCGATTTGCCTAATAAGCCAAGTTTTCCTGAATTAATATATTTATTATAATATTTTTCTTATGAAATGATAAAGCAACCCTTTTCTCTATGTATGAGGTCATTTTTTTTTATTGGAGTTAAAATTACCGTAGATATATGACCGAACCTAACCAACCCTACCTAACCTAACCTAACCTATATTTATAGGTAAGGTTAGGTTAGGTAGCCAAAAAAAGCTAGGTTAGGTTAGGTTAGGTAGGTTAGGTAGACGAAAAAACATTAATTCATGGAAACTTGGCTTATTAGGCAAATCGGGCCTTGAATAGTAGGCTGAGAAGTGCGTTCTGGCTATTAGGTACGACATATATATATATATATATATATATATATATATATATATATATATATATATATATAATCAACGGGTATAAAAGCGGGTATAAAATCAACTAGTATTGTAAGATCTGTTCACTTGAGAATGAACCATGGAGGTTCGAAACGTCGTGCAAATTATACAAATAAGTGTAATACACTCTACAGTAAATCACTTCTTTTCTTCACCTTAAAAGTACGAAAATGAGTTTTGGAGAACTCCTATTTCAATTAAGCCCTGATGCTAAGAAAATAGTTAGAGGGATAGAAGCCCTAAACCAGAAAATAATAAATACAGAATATGCGGTCATATTCAATGAAACATGTTTGAAAGAAAACCTGCTGCCAGTATACACCAATATAAACCCACATGACCCAGCAGTCCGCAATACAGAGTTTACCTATATATATATATATATATATATATATATATATATATATATATATATATATATATATATATATATATATATATATATATATGTGAACAAGGTTATTGCATATATTATATATATAATTTATAATATATGCTATATGTACAAGAATGTAAGAACTCATGTATATATTAATAAATAAATAAATAAATAAATAAATAAATAAATATAATAATCACATATTTTTCGTGATTATTATTTCATATATACAGGGAAGAATAATTATTATTATTCCTTCTTCACTTCTCCTCATCTCATCTTCTTGAACAACAGTTTTCCAATTCCCTTTCTCCTCCTCCTCTCCAGACAAGTGTGCTGACCTGGGAAAGAAAGAGAACGTTGACATTACCTTCAACAAACAAAACGGAAGTGTGTTCTTGTGGTACAGACCTCAGGAGACCAACACCACCATCAGTGTGAACTTCCAAATCATCAATACCACCAGTACCAGAACGACCATCTACGCTCGCGACACCTACCACTTTACACGGCTCAAGGTTAATCAGATTTACCAACACCAGGTGAGCATTCCCCGGTAGTGTCAGCTGGTGTCTGGGGACCACTTCCCACCCTACAGTTGTGACTAAGGTCAGTATTCCCGGTAGTGTCAGCTGGTGTCTGGGGACCACTTCCCACCCTACAGTTGTGACTAACGTCAGTATTCCCGGTAGTGTCAGCTGGTGTCTGGGGACCACTTCCCACCCTACAGTTGTGACTAAGGTCCGTATTCCCGGTAGTGTCAGCTGGTGTCTGGGGACCACTTCCCACCCTACAGTTGTGACTAAGGTCAGTATTCCCGGTAGTGTCAGCTGGTGTCTGGGGACCACTTCCCACCCTACTGTTGTGACTAAGGTCAGTATTCCTGGTAGTGTCAGTTGGTGTCTGGAGACCACTTCTCACCCTACAGTTGTGAATAAGATCAGTATTCCCGGAAGTGTCAGCTGGTATCTATGGACCACTGTTATAACCCAAGGACGCCTGGAGAAACGAGTCTTCCTGATGAGAGTTATTCTGCTTTCCTGACCAGAAATTATGAGGTCAGAGGAAGAAATATGTATAATAAATGTCAGTGAACGATTAAATAATACAGGCAGAGAGTGAGCATCTTGTTAATGATAGTACCGATAGGATGTCAACAGTTTGTGACATTATGTGACGCAAGCGGACAGTGAAACGCCACTTGAGTTGTGCAGTCATCAGAGGTGGACTTGCGTTTCAGTGTCTTAGGAATATTGAAGAATTTGGCTTAAGTTTTTAAGAGATAGCTACAGTGTATAAGATGAAGTGTTTAAGAGACGGCTACAGTGCATAACCATTGAGGAAACTGCCAAGGGCGTGATGCATGTTACTTCTCAGTATTTATGAAGATTTGGAGACGACATCAAGCCATGTGGAGGTCGTGCCTGAGTGGAATTCTAAATTGTTGTATCCTCAGGTAAAAGGAGGATAAACAGGTGTCTATGTGTGGAGCCTGCTAGGCGACTGTGTGAGCTCAAGTCAGGAGCAGATCTGTATGAGCTCATTGTGTGAGGCAGTCTTATGGAGACTTTGTTGGACGTCTTAGAGGACGCCATCTTGGAGCACCCCAAAGCTACAAATTCTATGGGAGGCTAATTTATCCGTTGATTTAATGGTCGCCTATGCTTGATCGTGCACCCAGCGATGATGGCAAGTGTATATACTAGTAGGATATATATTTTTATTGTGACAATGAGCTAAAATAAACAGTCAGAGGTAAGAGAACATGCAGGAACGAGGAGTGTTACATCCTCTCTCGAGGGAGGTCAATGAGCAACTGACGGGTGGAAGCCCCCTGCTTCGCGACTGAGGCAGAGGTCCCTGGATCGTATGAAGACATGTTTCCAGAATGAACTCGCCCAAGATTAGGGAATACCTACTAGAGAGGGACCGGCGTGGTGCAGCATCAGAGGGAGAGATTTTGTGCTGGGATATAGGTTTATTAGTTATGTTTTGCTAGGATTTTTTTATATTGGCATGTTAATGGAATTGCAGGTTTGTGTGGAAGTTAATGGAGGAACTTCGAGGCTTGAGAATAAGTGTATGCTGATCCCTGAAGTGGAGCAGAATTCCTTCGTGTGGAGTTGAACTTCAAACAGTGTAGAGGAGCTATACGTTTCCTTGTGGAGCCGATGGAGGAGCTTCACTGATGTTGGAGTAGGATTTCGTTGTGCAGCAGATTGGCAGAACTGCAGAAATGCCTTACCTGATTTTTGGAGGACCTAGATATATGTTAGTGGTAGTGGGACTCACGGAATAGAACAGAGGAGCATGTGGACACATTAATGTATGAAAAGAGTGCTTAATTGCATATTAGCATATAAGACGCAGTGTACGGTGAGAGATCGATTTCTTTTTTGCTGGGGATAGTTATATAGATGTTCCAGGTATTTCAGCCCCAAGCAGAGTTTCATATTCTTTGATGCTTGAAGATATATTATTGTGGTGCTGTGTATTTGAGCCCTAAGCAGTGAGGAGGCAGTAGGGGATATGCCAAGAGTTGGGCAGCAGCCTGATATAGATAATTGGTGAAATCAGGAAATGATATTGGAGTGCTACCGGTTTGTAGCAGCTTAAAGTGTCGAATAGTAATAGCATAATTTATGTTTTGTTGTGTGCATTCTTATATATTAAATGTTTGTTAATAGCTGGTCTTTGCTCTTGTTCTGGTGAGGTTTCCCGGAAAGTGTGAGAGAGAGAGAGAGAGAGAGAGAGAGAGAGAGAGAGAGAGAGAGAGAGAGAGAGAGAGAGAGAGAGAGAGAGAGAGAGAGAGAGAGAGAGAGAGAGAGAGAGAGAGAGAGAGAGAGAGAGAGAGAGAGAGAGAGAGAGAGAGAGAGAGAGAGAGAGAGAGAGGGTCATGGTTGCAGACAAAGTGACAGTGGATAATAATTCACTAAAAGAATATTTAGGAGATCATCCCAAACAAGGAGAGAGTGGGGAAGGGGGGGGGGGGGTCACAGCAGTTCGAGTAGGGTGTTTATTTAAGACAACGAGGCCAGTTTTGGAGTTGCACCCTTAAATAAAGGTGACACTGAATCCCTCTCCAAGATCAAGATGCGTACAGTTTGATCTATCAAGTAAACTGCAAGTACTCCGGTGTTCGTCGCTTGTCGATTGACGGTAGCGGGAGTGTGGCTGCCGAGGTCTGCTGTTTTCTATCTGGGTGTATGCTGGGGTCCCTGTTCGCCTGTACACAAGTAACAGTCTGGTGCAATAACCAGCTCATTTGGTTAAAATGCCCAATCCCCCTTGAAAGAAAATTGAGAGCCTTTCCAGGAGTGAATTGACACACCCACACCCTGTCCGGGAGGCGAATATACACACCCATAGTTTAAGTCCAAGAGAGTGGACTGACACACCCATTGCAGCTGTAGGTAGCCCGTGTGACCGCAGGCAAATATTCTCTCTCGGGAAGACCCACAGGACAGGATGGAGAATGTGTAATCTTTCGTAGAGTCAGGCAAGCCTGAAGATTCAGAAGGTTGTACCAAAGAGCAGTTAAGGCAAATTGCCGAGACATGTGGTGTCAAGGTGAAGTCATCCAAAGTGGCAGGAATGAAGGAGGAGATCCTCAGGAAATTGAGAGCTAAGAATGAACTGGTAGAGCAAAGAGCCCAGAAAGGATCTGAAGGTGAAAAGGAAGATGATGGTAAAAATGAAGTGAGATCCCAAGTATCACATAGGAGTAGTAGGAGAAGCCGCAGTAGCAGGAGTAGGCGGAAAAGGAGCTTAGAACGGTTCCATCTAGAGCTCCAAATGCAACGTGAGGACAAGGAGAGGCTGTTCTAACTAGAGAAGTTGAAGTTAGTACTGCAAATGAAAGATGAGGTAGAGAAAGCAAAGGAGAAAACCAGAATAAGAAAATTGGAGTTAGAACAAGAGAAAGAAAAGAGAAACAAAACAAATGGAGATAAAAACAAATAGAGCTTAGGCAGAGCATAGGATTGAGCGTGGGTTGCCTGAGAGCACCACATGTTTCGCACCCACCAGATAATAGGGAGTGAGGAAAAAAAAATTCCACTGTTTGTGCCAAAGGAATCCTAGAGCCTCTTTGAGCACTTCGAAAAGATAGCCAACATCAAACAGTGGCCACAGGAAGAGTGGGCCTAATTAGAACAGTTACGACTGACCAGTGTTGCCAGAGAGGCCTATACCCAGTTGTCTTTGGAGAAATGCCAAGATTACTGTGAAGAGCAGCATGCTGCGTTCATTTCTGTTAACCCCTGAAGCATACAGAAAGCACTTCTGAGAAATGATGAAGGCTACAGCGAGCACGTTCGCCGAGACAGTGAGGGACCTGGAAAGGTATTTCCAGAGGTGGATAAAAGCTGTCGGTGTAGAATTGTATAATGATTTGAAACAGTTAATAATGGTGAATTTTCTAGAAATGATGCACCCTGAGACCAAATTCAAGATCCAAGAGGCAGGAGTGAAGAATGAGAGATGCCGCAAATAGGGCAGATGTGATTATAGAGGCCTATCAGAGCCTAAGGAAAAGCAGATTGAAAAGTGATGTGAGACGCAATTATGGCAGACCTAGTGAAGTATGGGGGTGAGAAAAATAGTAGGAGGCCGGTAAATAAGTGTGTTAGCCCCAAACCCCATGAAAGAAAGTTGCCGAGTCCACCTGCCGGACTTAAGCAAAAAAATAATTATGTACCAAGGAGTCAAGAGTCCAGTAAAACACAGCATAGTGCAGGTAGTGCTCCTGTGTAGAGAACCTCCAATGCGAGTGGACAGAGCCCAAGCCACTCTGGAAGATATAGACGAAGCTTCTCTCAAGTAAGGTGATACAAATGCAACAGATATGGTCACATGATTAGAGATTGTAAACGGGATAAGAGAGTTTTGACCCTGACAATGTGTGATCCCCCACAACTCATGTATGAGTTTGATAAAGGACAAACCGTAGAAAGGAAGCCTAGTGAACGAGAGATGTGGTCCATTCACCAGTAAAGATTGGGTCAGCATATGAGACCAACCTGAAGTGGAAGTAGTATACTCAGAGATACAGGTGTGAATCAGAGCTTGACTTGGAGAAGCCTGATCAGGGATGATCGAATTTTAGCTGGCAGTCGGAGAGTAAAGGTTCATGGGTTATTGTTGGAGAGTGACATGCCCCTATAGGCTGCCAGACTGAAGTCAGACTATTTGTCGGTGGAGGTGATGTTGGGAGTGTGTCCTGACATACCTGTTTCAGGGATACAAGTGATCCTGGGTAATGACTGGTACTGTTTGAAGGTGTTACTGGAGCTCATAGTGAAAACTGTGCTAGAAGGGCCACGGTACTGATGGGACACCTGACAGAGTAGACCTGACTAGCATCCTAGAGGTTGAGTCAGAAGACTGCAAAGCCATTGTGTACCCTGCATGTGTAGTGGCATGGTCAAAGGTTGCCGACAAGGGAGACACTGGAGGTGATATGACAGTGTCGATACCACTGAGAGAAGAGAGCACGTGGAGATATCATGGCTGTTTGGCTAAGGTCCAGCTCGTGAAAACG